TGTTTTGTCTGTTGTGCATGTGCTGAGTAGAGGCCCCACTGCACGTATTCCTAAGAAAAAAGAAAAAGGAGAAAAAGAAAGAAAAACAGCAAAAAAAAAAGACAGAAAAAAAGAATGAATCTTCTGCAGAACATGTCTTTGTGCATGTGCAGGGTAGAGCCCCTTAGGGCCACTGCACGTATTCCTAAAACAGTCTCCTCAGAGACGAGAGGGCGTTGCTACAGACTTAAAAAAACAAAAAAAAAAGAGAAAAGCAAGAAAAAAGAAGAAAAAGAAAAAAGAATGAATCTTCTGCAGAACATGTGTTTTGTGCATGTGCAGAGTAGAGGCCCTTAGGGCCACTGCACGTGTTCCTAAGAAAAGCAAGAAAAACGAGAAGAAAAAAAACAAGAAAAAAAAAAACAGAAACCAACACGGCCTACCTACGTGAGCAACCCATAACTGCTAAAACAAAGACCTGAACGTAAATCCTGGGCATATATTTGGCCAGCTCGTGCTCTACTTCATACTCGCTGCCTGCCTCGATTTGGCTGGGMGGGTCTGAGCCATATGGTGAGGACCCCTCAGACAGCCTGCAYGGGCTGTCTGAGCCGGGTTAGGGGGTTTCCCCCACCCCCTGAAAAAAAAAGGAGTATTTTTTTTTTGTTTTTCCTGTCTTTTGTCTGGGGCATTGGCCCACAGCCCCCTTCAAGCAGCGCCGCCGCTTCCCACACTGCCCACAGCCCCCCCAAGCACCGCGGCCGCTACCCACATTGCCCAAAGGCCCCCCCCGCCCCGCACAACCCCCTGCGCAAACGCGTTTACCCCCGTTCACTGAACGAGCGTTCACCACGTTCAAAGCTTGAATGCGAAACGCGCGTTCAATGAACGCATGGTAACATAGAGCTATCCCGTTACCACCGCCGCTCCCGCTATCCCGCCTCCGATATCCCACTCTCTCTCTCTCTCTCTCTCTCTCTCTCTCTCTCTCTCTCTCTCTCTCTCTCTCTCCCCACTACCGAAGCCTGTCAGTTGCATTAATTTAATTAACAAAAAACAAAACCACACATATGCCTACAATGAATCAATTAATTCGTCATGGTAGAGAATCAAAACGACGTACGCATCAAGGAAAGGAAGAAAGAAAGTAGAACCCCACATCTATTTATTTAGACCAAATAAAGACATATCGGAGCTAGAAGTCGACCCAATGAGCGGGGCTGGTACCAGAATAGAGGGAGGGGAAGAGCCAAGAAGTGGATCCCGCTTCACGAATACACAGTAAAACGGGGGTATAAGATAAGAC